GGGTAATTTAAATTGTTCATCATAGTATTACATTGAGTTATCAGAAAGTGAGCTGTTATGTATCCCTTTGTGATTTTAGATCCTGAAGCTCTGAGCTTCCTTTTCTACTCTCCCCAATTCCTATTTCTTGGTGTTAAGAGTTGTAGCTTTGTGCACCTGCACTGCTTCTGTGCAAAGAGGTTGTCTATTTTTACTCCAGGAGTAGACTAGGCACTGGGCACCTCAATACTGGGTGTTGAGTAACACCTGTATACTCAAGACATACCCTTTAACTCTGGGGGCTTACCATCTGGGTCTGAGCCACCTAGGTTAGCCTAATCTGAATGTTTAGTGCCTCTACCCCAAAGCTTTGCCTGTTTTACTTAGTCCTTGCTCTTTCCACACTTGCCTGTGCCTGCCTAAAGTCAAATTCTATGCTGCTTTGTGCTGAGATGTCCATAGTTCTTCTTAGTCAAAGAAGATTTTTTTTTCGGAGGAAATTGTAAGGAGGTTATTCGAAACTGTTGCCAGCTGAGTGATTTTGCTTATGTCCTTCCAAAGTGGTCGGGTTCTAGTTGGATTAAAGCTGTGTAGGATCTTACCCAACAAAGTGAATTTGCCCAGACCGTAACACACGTCCAGATCTGTTTTAGGGAATTTTATATAGGGATGGCTGGGAATTTGGGGCTAAAACTTAAGTACAGATTTACTTTTCAGTTAAGAGCTGTCTTAACCCCTGTTAAATTAGTCCTTCTTTGCTCTGGTGTCTTTGGTGCATCACCTCTGGTATGCACCTAGTCATTGGGCTGTAGAGTGGCTCTTGGTGACTTGTAAATCTGTGTCCTTGTCATCATTGCCATGACCTTGTCTGTACTGAAAATCAGAAACAAATGCTTGCATTTTTCTGTCTTGAATTTGTATTATAATTTTGCTCAAGAACCAGTCTACTTAAAAAAAACAACAAGCAACCAACCCCTCCCCCCCCCCCCCCCCAAAAAAAAAACAAAAAACCAAACCAACCCCAAAACAAACGCTCTAACCTTTGTGGTTGGCATAAAAAACCTTGCATTTATGAAACCACAAGTTGTATGTTTAACAAAAAGCGGTAAAAATTAGGTACAGATTAACTGATACATTAGCCACAGTCTTTCCTATAGATAAATGTAGGTTAAATGCTGAGAGTTGTGAGCTAATCCAGTTATTGCATGAGTCTGTTAACTTTGAAGTTCAATAAGGATACTTTAAATGTCAGCAATATTAACTGTATATTAACTAATATTCATTGTTTATCATTTAATAAAAAAAAATCCTTGTCCTTCATCTTTACCTGATATAGTAGTTTGTGAGCCATGGAGGGGTCAGATGGCTACATTTTATCAAATTTCTCCACACTACAAATTTCTTTATTTGTAGTGATGGCTTTCATAGCTGTCCCTTGAGTCAGTCTAGTTTTGCCTGACTGCTGGGAACTGGAGCAGAGAATTTCTAGTTTTACATAGACCTGCATCAATCCTTTTTCCAATATATAACAGTATGGCTGCTTGCAGACATGGAAAAAAAATCCAAAACAAAATGGTGCTTTACTTTAAGTTTGGTGCTGGACCATGCTGAGCCCAGCACATGCCTAGAAGAGGCAGTGCATTAGTTGGACCCAACTTTTCCAACATCTTTATAGATCAGGCACTTTAGTGGGGCTTTTTTGGCACCTTTATCTAATAGTTGATTGAATCAGCATTAGCTGAAAACACCAAAAAGCCCTGCTGAAAGGCCCAATCTATACAGACACTGAGGAGCCGGGTCAAAGTAATGTGCTGCTGCTTCCGGTAAAGTGTGGGGTTTCCCATGGGTGACTGGTGTCTCCTAATACTGGGGCGGCACCAGCCAATCGCCGAATGGATTGGGGGGGGGGCAGCTGTGCATGCATGCGTGCACCCCCCTCCATGCAAAAGTCTCTGGGGGGAGGGGAAAGGGCCATGCGTGGGGACGGGGCAGGGAGGAAGCAAAGCTGAAGCTGGTACTGGGCAGGGCTTGGGCTTGGGGCCAGGGTCGGCTGTACCCATGCATCTGCTCCTTACCCTGCGTCAGGGATCATTGCTCGGCACTGGCATCCACCTTCCCCCAGCCCTGTACTGGCCCTGGCTGCCTCCCTGCACTGGCCCTGGTCTGGCCCCAGCCCCACACGGCCCAGAGAGGGGCGCCTGGAGCTTGAGCATGGCCAACCTCGGCTGCACCGCCAGGCCAGAGGAGACGGAGCCCCTGGGACCCCCCGCCCTGCCCTGTTTAAGTCATCCCTGGGAAGAGCCCGGTGGCTCCTGCAGAGTCAGGGCGCCAGGGAGCCAAGGGGGGCATGTGGCACCCGCCCCTGATCTTTGCACAGGGCAAGGGTGGGCTGCAGCTGTGAGGCAAGCTGGGCTCTGCCTGCTTCACGCCTCGCTGCAGCCTTTGAAAGCGGTGTGTCCCACCACTATGTGGGCCGGGCAGCAAGGCACATGGCGCTATGTCACGCCACTTTCAAAGGCTGCAGCAAGGCATGGAGCAGACAGAGCCCAGCTTACCTCGCAGCTGCAGCCTGCCCTTGCTCCGTGCAGAGATTGGGGAGGGGCACATGTCCCCCTTGGCTCCCTGGCACCACAACTGAGGAGCCATAGGGCTCCACTTGTCCCACAACCTGGCCTGGCCGGGGGGCTCCATTCACCATGAATGGGGCCCCAACTGGGCCTGGTTGTGGGGCAGTCAGAGCCCAGCAGCTCATCCAGGGCTGCCACGTATTGGAGCCAAGGTTTTGGGGGAATGTGCCTCCCCTTGGGCTCCAATTGTCCCATGAACCCGCCTGGCCGGGGCCCCATTCTCTGTGAATGAGGCCTCAGCCAGGCCAGGTTGGGGGACAATCCCCACAGTGCAGCAGGGAACAGGGCAGGGGTGAATGATTTGGCTGCCCCTACCCCACTCCTTCCTGCACTGTGGGGGTCTTGATCCCTTCCCTTGACACTTCCCCCTCAAGCCTAGAAACTAGAGGAAGAAAAGAAATCTTACCTACCTGCCTGCTGGGCTGGTCTGGGCTGGGCTGGTCTGGGCTGGGCTGGCTGGCTGCAAGCCTGGAGTGCCCGTCCCCCCTGCTGGAGCAGCCTGAAGTCAGGTTGCCCTGGCATTTGTGGGGTCTGAGCCCTGTTAACCTCCCCTTCCGTCGCCCCCAGTACTTCTCTTGTGGGGCACTGCCAGTCTCAAGGGGTGCATGTGCATCTATGGGCACTACCCCCTACGTGTTGCCAGTGGGGTTTCCTGTTTTGCTTGTTTTTTTTGCGGGGTGGGGGGGACTCAGTACCCTGTATCTTCTAATGTGGTTTTCTGGATTATAAAAGTAACCAATAAGTTGACCATTATCAATAAATAACTTGCTTTTAAAGTTTAGGGAGTCATTTTTACAATGTGCGCTCAGATATTGAGATTTAGTTTGGAAGTTCTTGGGGTAAATAGAAGTCAGAGAGCATTTTCCAGTTGTGAAAAATACACAAACTTCTGTCTTCCTTATACTAAGTGAAATGAATTTAAAGAGCTCTTGGAGAACTTTTTCCCAAGAATGCTTGGTCCCGAACAGACCTGAACTAAGAAAAGTAGAAGGAAGTTATCACTCAGTTTACCTCTTGTAAAGAACTGTAGCTAATTAATGTTGGTGTTTTTTAATTTTGAGTGAGAGAGAGAATAAATATGTGCAGTTTGCTTTGGATGGTATTCTTTAACTGTTTTGTAAAAGATGTGAAGGATGTTGACAGAGCAGTGGTACCCATCTTATCACAGTATGTGTCAGAGATTTGTTTGTTATTCCTCCTGTTTTCATCATTTCAGTGAAATGGAGAGAAGAAGAAACTGTCAGATTGCATTTGGGTCGCTGCATTACAATAGAATTGTACTTTTTTTTCCCCTCCAACCCTCCATTTAGGCAAAAATGGAGTGTATGGGATTACGTAGTATAGTGTTCCCTGTCTTTCCTGTTGTTTCTTGTATCCAGTTCAATTCTTTGCCCTTCATTGGCCAGCAGTGAAAATGTGTGTTCAGAGCAATTATCTGCTTCACAGGATGGCACCTCAGAGTTGCCTGCTAGCCTGGTGAGGAGAGATAAGAGAATACTATAGAATGTATTAAAAAAAACCCACAACCTTGTTTACTCTTTGTCAAGAGACTTTACAGCCATCTGAACACATGACTGTTTGGCCAAGAAATACCTTCTACTCTGTCCAGATATCAGAAAAGATTATAATGATGGAGACAGTCCAAGATAGCTAGCCTAGTGTAAAGCCCGGGTTTCTGTGTTGTCAAGACTGTCCTCTATGATTGGGTGGTGTGTGCTGGAGCAAGGGGCACAGAATAACCAGATGAAAAGACCATGTGGACTACTGAGACCATATATTCCTCGTATGGTTTAAAGTGCTTGTTAAGTTTATAACTAAACCCAAGAAATGTACTGTCTCTAAAAAGCCTCCCAAAATGTATGACTTTTTTTTTTTTAAATCTCTTTTTTTATCTCCCCTCCCTCCTTTCTGATTGATTCTTTATTTTTGTCTTCAGAATTTCAAATTTAGATGAGTTCTTGCTAAAATAAAAAATCCTCTCTTCGCATACAGGAAAAGCTTGCAATGATTGTTCAGAGCTGGACTCTGAGACACAAATACTTAATAGAAAGAGAATAATTAAAATCAAATGTAGATGAAATGAATTATGCAACAGTGCTGTCTGTTTTCTTCATTTTTGTCCAAAATCTTGCAACAGTGGCTCTAAGTGCAGGTCACAGCACAGATCATCAGGACAGTTGTTCATGCTTGAGTATTTATTAATCATGTTTCTGAAGCTCTAGCTATTTTAAATTAGGCTAAGATTTTATTACCATCTGTATATTTCCGTAGTGACTTAACTTTTAAGTCTTGCTTCTCTGGGAAGCTAATATAACTGAAGAGGGATACTTGGGAAGAAAGTGATAATGTGAATGTGTGTCTTCATTATTATTTTATTTTGGTTTTCACTTGTAGGTGACAGCTGTGCCACTGGATTTCTACTGCAATGATCAAAGTGCAGAATATGAGCGTAAAGCACTAAAGGAAGGAGGAAGTCTTGAAGCAAAGCAGTGTGTATTAAATGGTTCTCCTGAACTTGCAGCTGATTGGCAGAAGCAAAGCTCCCAGTTCTTCCCAGAATATCCAGGAGGGTTGTTAGGGATTAGGCCTCAGAATGGCTGGTCTTTCATCCGGATACCAGGTGAGTTTTTGAGACCTTTGGTGGAATGCTAATGAGGTTAAGGGAAGGGGGCAGCTACACTTTTTCCCCTCTTCTTAGTGAAAAACATTCCAGCAGTTGTGGAGAATGCTATGATTTTATTACCTGTGTATCGTGTGAAACAAATAGCCAGCAAAGAGAGAAAGCCTAACATAACCTCCTTTGGTGCATAAATCAGCTAGTGCTTGTGGGTGGATAAATAGAGAGCTTTGCTTGTTAATCCACAGCGCTTTTTCTTGCTCCATCCCTTTCCCTCTGCCCTTCAGCTGGGAGGATATTAAAAATATTTCTTCCACCACAACTCCCAGAACTAAAGACTGTTTTAAGATTGGTATCTGGTGGTTGCCACCTTTTATCAGTGCATCCTACCAGGAGGTCTGCTGAAACACCTTGGTATTGGCCTAGGAGGATCATTTGTCAGTCCTCCCAACTGGAGAGAAAACATTATGCCTGCAGCAGTCTAAAAAGAGAAGTAATAGTCTGGGGACAAAATGGAATGAAAAATAGCGTGGAAAACAGTCTGGATGCTTTTCCAGTCTTTGACTGGACCTTGGTTGGAAAACTGCAGAAATGCCTTTAAATTCTGGAGCCAGGGTTGGAAAAGGATACCAATGCAGTAATAAAGCAAATTTAGTCTTTGTTTCCGTTCTTGGGATTAGACCTGGGTTCTTGCCAGGGGTAACTAACTCTCAGGAGTTTGATTAACAGTGCTACAATGACATTCAGTGGTGAGAACTACTGTTGCCTTGTAGTATGATGGTGCTGAACAGTGAGAAGTATCTTCAGTGAAGCACTGGAGATCTGAGAGATGGCCAGGAGGAAATGTAGCTCGTATTCCCAAAGTACTAACTTGTTCCCAGACTGTTATTGGTCAAAGATGTTTGTAGGAGGAAATGAAGAGGATGGAAGCAAAATGGGCTTCTGCTTGCTGGGGTCTGGTTTAGTGAGAGTGCTCATAAGGAGATCGGATCCAAGTAATCCAGAGGGATATGCATGTGTACTGGGGTAGCGTTTCAGATTGAACTGATTCAGTACCACGTGATAACACATTTTACAGCTTGTTTGTCTTGGCAGAATATTGGGTTGTTATTAGCAGTTAAAAGAAAATGGGAGAGGATACAAATGCTGGGATACAATGGATAGGAAGGAAGGCATGAAAGGAGGTGTGCATGAGTGCGAGAGGCTTTGGAGTAGTGATGGTGCTCAAAAGGGTAGCTTCTGTTCTGAAAATGGTCCTGTGTTCTTAAAACCCTGACTTCTGGCTGTGTTACTAGGAAAGCTTTATTAAAGAAGATGATAGGAATTAAACAAATGTATTTTGAATAATAAAACACAAGAGTCTTTTGGGAGTGAATGTGCTGAACGGCACATATGCAAGCATAAACATGGATGTCCAGGTGGGGGAGAACAATGTTAAGCAGGTGGTTGGGGAGTGAGTAATAAAGAATTAAGTTTAGTTGGTGGCTGTTGGCTTTTAACAAGTGTGTACAGGAACAGATTTATGCAGGTTGGTGTTAGCTAGGTCAGAAGTAAGTTTGAGAGCAGATAGGAAGGAATGTAGATGCAAGGACAGTGCAGCTATGTGTATAGGTATAATGGAGACCAGTACAGAAGGTGAATAATGATTAACTTGAAGTGGACTGTAGGGATAAAGTCCAATGAGGGTAACAGAACTAAAGGCATGAAGTTCTGTACTAAGTAGGCAAAGAGAACAAAGAAGTGGTTTCTATCTGTCTTAACCCTGCCTTCCCCTCTCTGACAGAGTTCCCAGTACCCTGGCAGCAGGCTCAGTTGCCTTCACTGTGGGAATCTCTTGAGGCTTTTCCTGTTCTTTGAAAGAAAAATGGTCCTGGATTAAATGGCAGGAAGTGTCTGAGTCCTTTTAGCATCGATAAAAAGCACCGGCCTCACTGGCTGTTTACTGTGAGAGCCAGCTCCTCACTGACCCCATTGTGCTGTGTAGACTGCTGCAGAGTAGGGCCAGGGTGGGGGGTGCACTGGAACCCACACTTTGTCTCCCTTCTCTCCAAATTTTTACATATTCAGAAGGGCATTTTCTAATTCCCCAGAGAAGCCTGGGCCTAGCCCCAAGGTACAGTCACCCACCCTGGTGATTTTCAAAAAGCATCTTGATGCCTGCCTTGCTGGGGTCATTTAACCCCAGCAGTCTTTCCTGTCCAAGTGCAGGGGGGCTGGACCCGATGATCTTGTAAGGTCCCTTCCAGCCCCTAACATCTGTGTATCAATTGGAGCTCCTCACTAGGATTATTTTGAGTGATAATCAGTAGTGAATTACCTCTGTTCCACAGGCATTAGTATCCCATAGCACCCCTAGACAACCAGCTTGAAGTTCATCCCCTACTAGCCTGGCAATAGTTCTGCATTCTGCTGGCTAAAGAGGAACCATTTGATCCATTGGCACTAGCTTGTTGATTCTGACCAGGCTGCTTTTCCTCTTCGCTTTCCATAGTACCAAAGGAATAAATTCAGTGATTGTTACCCAGAAGGCAGAATTTGCTATCAGATCTGTTGGGATAAACTACAAGTTTGATTTTTTTTTTAAATTTATAATGAAAAATTATATTTCATTGACAAGCTTTATATGGGAAAAAAACATTTCAAAATGAAATCTTGATTAGAAAATAGGGATTTAAAAAAAAATTGGAGAAAATCCTACTGAAAGTATTTTTCCATGGGGAATAGTAGAAATTAAAAGCAAAGGGACATTAGAGGGTGAGAGGTATTCTTACCTTTTTGGATCAGCTCTAAGTTTCACAGTGGTGTTCTCTCTTGGGGATGATAGGAATACAGTCAGTCATGGGTCTCTCAAAGCAGTCTCTGTTATGGCGTCAACACTAGATGGCAGCCTTTAAACAGGCAAAGGTTTTTTAAGTTTTAAAAAACTAATACTTTTAGGACAGGGCACTGCAAAACATCAAATTAAAATGAACCATCTTTCTTTCAGGAGTATTCTGCCATTAATTTTTACTCGCTTTCATTTAGGAATTTTGGCTGTGATCTCAGCAGCTTAGTCTGTTCTATTTGCCAGGAATCAAGCAAACTAGGGTTTTATTGTCAGGTGGTTTTTGTGGTGTTCATTCTTGACACTGTGACCCCCTGCTTGCTTGATATGAAAGAGTTAAAAACCATCTGCTAAGAGGTCCTCCTTCATGCACAGTGTGCATTTTATTGCTGTTTAAGCTACTGACATAGAGACATAAGGAACTAATAATAATCCATATAATGTTTCCAGTTACCAAAATGTAAAGCAGCCTGTTCACACTTTAAGAGACTGCAAAAGAAAAACGGTAGCATTTTGTCTTTTGAAACATCCCAGAAACTCTACTCAAGTTTTCAAGTCTATCTTAATTGACTTTGGACAGATTTATTTATAAACCCACTGTTCACTTCATTCCTTTTTTATTCTCATCACACTTTTAATGGACTATCACATTGGCTCTTTTTTGTGTCTATGCTCCTCATATTGCATTACTAAATAATTAAATGCATGCTGCAGTTGGAATCTAACAAACTGGGAAAAGCACAAAAGTAAATGGGGTCTTTGATTTAAAGGTAAATTTAATATAGTTTTTATTGTTTTTAAGGTCTCACCTGTGGAAACTTTAAAACATTATATATACACATTTTGAAACCATTTTGTTCTTAAATCATTTTCTCCGCTTATCTGTCAAGACCTTAGTTAGTTAGGATTCAGTTTTTCTTATGAAACTTAATGAAATTACTTGATAGCATGTAAGGAATTGTGGTTGGGCTCTATTGTAGAAATCCAAATTCTACTTATGTTGGCTAGAAAACACTTGCAGCCCTGAACTTGGATCTTGTTCTGTCCTTACTGGTGACTCTAGTCTGAGCATTCCCGAGAGATGGGTCTAAAAGGATTCTAACTCTGAATTGCTGGTTGGCATGTTGCTAAGTCTTGGTAACACAAGCTGATCACCCCCAGAAGTTCCCCACTGGACAGATGGGAGGAATGGTATAATTGACAAACTGTGCATACAGGAAAACCAAAAGAAAAGATCATTAAAGTAACCTAAACAAGACAGACAAAGGCATGAAAAGTTGTCTGCATCAGTAAAAGATAAATGAAGACAAACTCTGACACCATTCCTAATATGGTAGGAAGCTGATTATATCAGAACAGAAAACACCCCAGGCTTAACTTAATAGTACAAAGATAATGGCTAATAATTTTACATATTGTTACCAACTCATAACATTAGGCCCAAAAAGAATTGTTCATGTGGTTTGATGTCTTGCATAGCAAAGGCCCAACATTTCACCCAATAATTCCTGTATCAAACCCATAACTTCTGGTTGACCTAGAGGATGTCATTTAGAAAGACATCTACAGTCTTGATTTACAGACTTGAAGTGCTAGAAAATATGCCACATCCTATAAAGGTTTCCAATGGTTAATTTTCCTTACTGTTTAAAAAAAAAAAATCTGCCTTTTTTCTAAACACATGTTATTTAGTCTCAGTCACTGGATTTTATACCTTTCCTAGATTAGACAGACTCTTTCTTTACTATCAATAATTTTTTGTCTGTGTAGGTTCCGAGAGACTATTACCAAATTATTTCTTAACTCCCACAACATTCTTGCAGGTGAGCTAAGGCAGTACAGGTTGGATGAATAGGCTGTAAGGTGGATAGAAAACTGGCTGGATCATTGGGCTCAGAGGGTAATCAATGACTCGATGTCTAGTTGACAGCTGGTATCAAGTGGAGTGCCCAAGGGTTTGGTCCTGGGGCCAGTTTTGTTCAATATCTACATCAGTGACCTGGAAGATGACATAGAGTGCGTCCTCAGCAAATTTGCAGATGACACCAAGGTGGGGGGGTAGTAGATACACTGGAGGGTAGGGTTAGGATTCAGAGAGACCTTGACAAATTGGAGGATTGGACCACAAGAAATCTCATGAGATTCAATAAGGACATGTACAAGGTCCTGCACTTGGGATGGAACAGTCCCATAAATTGGTACAAGCTGGGGCTGACTGGTTAGGCAGTAGTTCTGCACAAAAGAACCTGGGGGTTACGGTGGACAACAAGCTGAATACGAGCCAACAATGTGCCTTTGTTGCCAAGAAGCCTAACAGCATACTGGGCTTCACTGGTAGGTGTGTTGCCAGCAGATCAAAGTGATTATTCTCCTTTATTTGGCACTGGTGAGGCCACATCTGGAGTATGGTGTTCATTTTTGGGCCCCCCACTACAGATTGGAAAAAGTCCAGCAGAGGGCAGTGAAAACGGTTCGGGGCACATGACTTGTAAGGAGAGGCTGAAGGAACTGGGCTTATTTAGTCTAGAGAAGAGAAGACTGAGAAGAGATTTAAAGCAGCCTTCAACTACTTAAAGGGTGGTTCGAAAGAAGATGGAGCTAGACTGTCAGTGGTGGAAGATGACAGAACAAGGAGCAATGGTCTCAGGTTGCAGCAAGGGAAGTTTAAGTTGGATATTAGGGAGAACTTTATCACTATGAGGGTAGTAAATCACTGGAACAGGTTACCCGGAGAGGTTATGGACTCTCCATCCTTGGAGGTTTTTAACACCTGGGTAGATAAAGGCTTGGCTGGGATGATCTAGTTGGGGATGGTCCTGCTTTGAACAGGGGGTTGGACTAGATGACCTCCTGAGATCCCTTCCAACCCTAGTTTTCTTTGATTCTATGATTCTAACTGCTTCTTGGATAACCAACATGGATTGAACATCTTAGTTCCCTCACTAAAGGTAGGCTTTCCAGGCCTTAAAGTAGTCTTATAATTCTTTTCTAACTCTTTTTCAGTTTTTCAGCAACATCTTTAAAGTGTGGACACTAGACCTAATCATGTTATTTCAACAAAATTCTCATTTATGCATTGTACAAAGAAAATGCCACCTCCCTGCTCCTACTGGATAATCCTCTATTTAGTCATTCTTTTTAGCCCTCTTAGTCACATGATTGCATGAGAAACTCCATGCTCAATTGGCTATCCTCCATGACCCATGTCTTATTCCAAAATATTACTTTTCCAGGGTACGGTCTCCTTTCCCTTTGCTTGATCTGCAGCCTGTGTTACTGAATACACAATCTTGCATTTATCTATATTAAAGTACACATCTTTATATGTTAATTGATTTGTTTAAGTAAACCTTTGCTTGTTGTTTACCTGTTCAGAAATTTGTCATATTCAAATGTTACCATCAATGATCTTACTTTTTTCCAGACTATTGATAAATATATTAGCACTCAGACTAAGAACAAATCATTCGTTCTGTTCTCACTAAAACAGATTCTCACCAAAAATGTTCCCAGTGGATGAAGATTCCTCATTATTAATTGTTCTTTTCTTAGATCTATCAGTTGTTCTGTTTTTACTGAATTTAATCTGTGCTACAATCATTTTGTGTATTGCTAATTTTTCATCATGTTATGAAATACTAAGTTAAATTCCTTGTAGAAATAATTAGGTCAGTCCATCAGGTCAGGCTGAATTTGTATATCCCAAAGTATAAAATGGCATCTCTACATAATAGGGAGCTGGACTCAGAGAGTGGTTGCAGTCCACTCCAGCATGAACCACCTGCAGTTGTCAGCTTTCCATTATGGTTTTAAGGCTGCGATTCAGGCATCAAAAGAATAAAAAGTCCTGTGTGCCCTTTCAGCTAAGAAGTTTTTTGAAGAAACATATCCTTTATCGCCACTTATCCCCTTTTCACTGGCAGTACATTGTTTATTAAAGATTATGTACACAGTCTACAAACAGGAAGTTCTCCTTCCTGGAAAATATTGCATGAGTAGTACTGAAGGAGAGGTCATGAAAAATAAGATTTCATGCATCTTTAAGATTGCCAGCTGGAAGCATTCTTAAAAAAACCCCTAACAATAGAGAGAGACTAGAAGAGTTGGACGTTGTTATGAATTGTATTTCATTTTATATAAATGAGGGAAATGTGTTTCTGTGTCTGTGCGTCGGTGATGGATGTGGTCTTGCAAATAGATTAGTGACATGAAGGCTATAACCAAACCTCAAAGGCTATAGTACTGAATGTCTAAAAGACAGAATTTGAATGTCAGGCATGAAAATAAACAGACTGCTTTAAATGCTAGTTTGCACCATAAAAAAACATGTGAATGTGCTCCTGATAATACTTCAGATAAGGCCTTAAGTGGAACATGCCTCTCCAAATACAGGCAGCTCCTTACTTGTGTGAACCTGTTTCCTAGAATGGCGGAAATGGAGCTTTGTAATTATTGCTGAGTGAGTATCCTCTTAGACTTCAGTCCCAGCCCAGACCAGCAAGTTCCTGTCAATAGTAACATTAGAAGTGTCAGTGAGGAGGGAGGTTGCAGCTCTTCCAGTCACTTTAAGGAGATGCTACTGTATGAATATGCTGCAAAGTTTTAGAAGTATTTTTATCTCAGCTTGTTTTATGCAGGTGTTTCAGGCTTTTAAGTTGCCTTTTTCTTTTCCTCTCCTCCTCAGACAAAGAGAGCCTTATCACGGACAGTGGGAAGCTTTATGCTCTTGATCTTCTGTTGACACGGCTGAAATCTCAAGGACACAGAGTTCTAATCTACTCTCAGATGACACGGATGATTGACTTACTGGAGGTAGGAGAGGCTTTGCCTGATAGGAAGGGACTTTTGAAGAAACAGATTTGACATCTATCACTTCTGTAATTTGGATCAGGCAAGCCTGACACAAAGTAATTGCATGGATAATTGCCTATTTAAGACATTCCCATAAAAGAAAGCCAGTGGACATTAATGATGAGGAGATGAATGGGAGATTTAGATATATAATATATATAATAAACTAGCGAATTGCCCATCAAGAATAACCGGGGGGTGGAGCTGGGATGGAGTGCCGCCACCTAATACCCCATGCTGCCGCAGTGCCTCTTGCAGGGAGTGTGGTGGGGGAGCCAAGGCCGGCGCTGGAGATGCTGTCACCAACGCGTGTTGTTGGAGCAGCATCTCTAGCTCTGGTGCAGAGCATATGGCAGTGACAGCTCTGGCTTCAGGTCTGGTATGTTGTGGCAGCGAGGCCAGTAGCTGAGGAGCTGGGGCCACAGCAATGGCAATGGGTGGAGCAGCCAGAGGGTGACCAGGGCTGTGTCAGCTCTCACTTGCC